AGGATAAGCGTAATAAGGTGTGAAAATTGCAATATTGATGGTGCAGCTACTAGTGGAAAGGAAAATTCCAGTTCGCTATTTGCTGTCGCTCACTGAATGAATAGGCGGGCGGCCACTGTTGGTGGGTCAGTGTACAGAGCGCTGCAGGTTTGTAGCGGCAGGCGCATATATAAAGAAAAGAAAGTGTAGAGAAATTTTGGTCGGTTAAAGGGCTTCAAAGAGTATGTTTATTTGCAAGTTCATAATAATATCAAAATAATTATATGAAATTAAACATTACATATGTACAATATACAAAATTTTGTATCTGTACACGCGAAATTTGTTTTTATTTTTATTGATTTTGTGATTTGCAGAAAAAGCGCGCCATTACGTGACGTAGACAGTCTTAACCCTTTGCACACCTGCTAGAAACATGGTGATAACTTGTAAGGCAAAAACTTGCCAAGTTTGGGTACATCGAGTGTACTATACTTATAAATTAAGTTTTCGCTGATGTTAAAATATTTTAAAGAACGTAAACAACGCTTTTTAACCGACTTGCAAAAAATGAGGAGGTTATCAGTTCGTCGGAATATTTTTTTTTTTTTTGTTATATATATATATATATTTATTTTTTGAGAGTTGAAGTCGCTTTTTATTATCTTCCTTTTATTAGCTCGGGATGTAACTATGTAATATTGATGCGCCTAAAAGATGCAGCGATTTCTATTCTCAAGTTACATACCTGATGACAGTACGAAAGGCAATTATAATAGGGAGGTTTTAGTTTTTTAAACTATAATTTTATTTTTGCTAAAAAATACATTTTTTTTTAAGTATAGTATATACACCATAAATTACATACCAAATGTATACATAATTGAACGCTTTTTACGACTACTTTTCGGTACATGTTCGTCAAAACATCGCGAGTATTCCACCAATTCATCGTCGCTGTCATTGGTTTGTACTGTGCAAACATACATACATACATATATATAGAGGCCCACAATCATTTCTGCCGCAAAATAGCAGACAACAAAATAATACAAATTTTGTTTTGCTATTCAGCTTCGCATTTTGCTTCACTCTTTGTCGTTTGTCTATTTATCTTTTTGTACTTTACCTACCCAATTTGTACGTTGGTTTGTGGCGACATATGCGGTGATGACGTGGTGTATCCCGAATTATGTTATTTCCTTAAAATGGGGTATGTTTTTTTATTTTATTTTCTCTGCATTCTCGCCTTCGTACTCGTATTTTGGTTTATTTACTTTGCTTTTGTGTTGTCCATATTTTATCATCTTCATTGGGGCAGAATTGAAAGGCCCGATTTTGTATGTTCGTCATATGGAAATCCCCAAAAGTATGAGGATTTTTTTAAATTAATTAAAGAAACTACACGACCGCTGTGGTTTAGTGGTAAGCAGTGCGCGCTTCCACTCCGCAACGCCTGGGTAACACTAACACACGTGTAAGCGCCAATCTATTATTATTTTTAAAGAAACTAAAGTAAGCAGCTCATTTTTAGTTTTATATGTATATATATATGTATTTATACAATTAATTTTTCCTATACATACTTTTTAATTAAATTACATATTTCAGTGGCGTGCCGTTACATATTAACAATCCAGTAACCGGATTGTCGGTCCACTTTTCGACCAGTGCTCCCAGGCCAGTACAATTCGACCCGTTGTATAGCATAAAAAATCCCAACAGAGTTTTTGGTCATGTAGTAGCAGAAAAGACAGTCTTTGGCCAGATATATAATGTGTTCCTTTACCTGTAAAATTTAGCGCGGATGCAAACTTAGTTTTAGACTCAGAGTGGCAGATAATGCAATAATAGATTATTTCGAGATGTAATTATATCCGATGTCGTTTAATTAATTGGGGCAAAAATGCTGAACATTTTCAGAAAATGGACGTGGCACCTTTGCATTCTTAGCGATATGCCTTCATACATATGTATTAATGAACACAAAACATGCAAATAATTTTATTCAATTACTGATTTTATATTTCTCGTTTTTTGATCCTCTAACAAACTCGTCTATGATTTCTTTTAACGCTAACGATTGAGTCTGTTCAAAAAATGATTCTTTCACTTCTGTTCATTGTCCCTCTAGTGTTCATTACACAGGCTTCTTGAAAAGCTGCAATAAAGGAGAAAGTCGTCATTGGCTGTCTAGTGCTGGACTGGATCACTAGATCGGCGTGCTATTGGAATAATTCAAATGAGGCATTAATCACTCGTAACTTTTTTATTTTTATTTTTGTTTTTTTTTTTTGCGTTAAAGCCGTTTTTCAAAGTTTGTTCTGTGACAAAAAGTTCAATTGAGCCAGTTGATATTTGCAAAT